TCGTTACTGAACCTAATCCGTTATTTTTATGCAGCAATACTTACCGTCAGGTGTAGTGGAGGGTGTAACAGTAGACGTGGCTGTTGACTCCGTTGATGTTGTGGGAGTAGAAGTCGAGGTACTTGTAGATTCTGTGGAAGTAGTGGTTGGCAATGATGGCACCACCGTTTTCTGATCTAAATCGAGAAAATTCAGTCAGAATGATCTGCCTCTATAAGTCACTCTGCGCGAAAGACCAGGTCTGAGTCTTGCTTTGTTCTCTCTACTAACTGCTGAGGTATTGAATACGTATTTTTATACCGTTTTCTGGTATGAATCAAAAGAAGCTATTCAGATTCATATGACTCTATCACTCTGCACAAAAGACCAGATTTGAGCTTGGCATCGCTTCCTCTTTTCGTTACTCAACCTAATCCGTTATTTTTATGCAGCAATACTTACCGTCAGGTGTAGTGGAGGGTGTAACAGTAGACGTGGTTGTTGACTCCGTTGATGTTGTAGGAGTAGAAGTCGGGGTACTTGTAGATTCTGTGGAAGTAGTGGTTGGCAATGATGGCACCACCGTTTTCTGATCTAAATCGAGAAAATGCAGTCAGAATGATCTGCCTCTATAAGTCACTCTGCGCGAAAGACCAGGTCTGAGTCTTGAGGTATTGAATACGTAATTTGTACCGTTTTCTGGTATGGATCAAAAGAAGCTATTCAGATTCATCTGACTCTATTACTCTGCACAAAAGACCAGATTTGGGCCTTGCATCGCTTCCTCTTTTCATTACTGAACCTAATCCGTTATTTTTATGCAGCAATACTTACCGTCAGGTGTAGTGGAGGGTGTAACAGTAGACGTGGCTGTTGACTCCGTTGATGTTGTGGGAGTAGAAGTCGAGGTACTTGTAGATTCTGTGGAAGTAGTGGTTGGCAATGATGGCACCACCGTTTTCTGATCTAAATCGAGAAAATTCAGTCAGAATGATCTGCCTCTATAAGTCACTCTGCGCGAAAGACCAGGTCTGAGTCTTGCTTTGTTCTCTCTACTAACTGCTGAGGTATTGAATACGTATTTTTATACCGTTTTCTGGTATGAATCAAAAGAAGCTATTCAGATTCATATGACTCTATCACTCTGCACAAAAGACCAGATTTGAGCTTGGCATCGCTTCCTCTTTTCGTTACTCAACCTAATCCGTTATTTTTATGCAGCAATACTTACCGTCAGGTGTAGTGGAGGGTGTAACAGTAGACGTGGTTGTTGACTCCGTTGATGTTGTAGGAGTAGAAGTCGGGGTACTTGTAGATTCTGTGGAAGTAGTGGTTGGCAATGATGGCACCACCGTTTTCTGATCTAAATCGAGAAAATGCAGTCAGAATGATCTGCCTCTATAAGTCACTCTGCGCGAAAGACCAGGTCTGAGTCTTGAGGTATTGAATACGTAATTTGTACCGTTTTCTGGTATGGATCAAAAGAAGCTATTCAGATTCATCTGACTCTATTACTCTGCACAAAAGACCAGATTTGGGCCTTGCATCGCTTCCTCTTTTCATTACTGAACCTAATCCGTTATTTTTATGCAGCAATACTTACCGTCAGGTATAGTGGAGGGTGTAACAGTAGACGTGGCTGTTGACTCCGTTGATGTTGTGGGAGTAGAAGTCGAGGTACTTGCGGATTCTGTGGAAGTAGTGGTTGGCAATGATGGCACCACCGTTTTCTGATCTAAATCGAGAAAATGCAGTCAGAATGATCTGCCTCTATAAGTCACTCTGCGCGAAAGACCAGGTCTGAGTCTTGAGGTATTGAATAGGTAATTTGTACCGTTTTCTGGTATGGATCAAAAGAAGCTATTCAGATTCATCTGACTCTATTACTCTGCACAAAAGACCAGATTTGGGCCTTGCATCGCTTCCTCTTTTCATTACTGAACCTAATCCGTTATTTTTATGCAGCAATACTTACCGTCAGGTGTAGTGGAGGGTGTAACAGTAGACGTGGTTGTTGACTCCGTTGATGTTGTGGGAGTAGAAGTAGAGGTACTTGTGGATTCTGTGGAAGTAGTGGTTGGCAATGATGGCACCACCGTTTTCTGATCTAAATCGAGAAAGTGTAGTCAGAATGATCTGCCTCTATAAGTCACTCTGGGCGAAAGACCAGGTCTGAGTCTTGAGGTATTGAATACGTAATTTGTACCGTTTTCTGGTATGGATCAAAAGAAGCTATTCAGATTCATCTGACTCTATTACTCTGCACAAAAGACCAGATTTGGGCCTTGCATCGCTTCCTCTTTTCGTTACTGAACCTAATCCGTTATTTTTATGCAGCAATACTTACCGTCAGGTGTAGTGGAGGGTGTAACAGTAGACGTGGCTGTTGACTCCGTTGATGTTGTGGGAGTAGAAGTCGAGGTACTTGTAGATTCTGTGGAAGTAGTGGTTGGCAATGATGGCACCACCGTTTTCTGATCTAAATCGAGAAAATTCAGTCAGAATGATCTGCCTCTATAAGTCACTCTGCGCGAAAGACCAGGTCTGAGTCTTGCTTTGTTCTCTCTACTAACTGCTGAGGTATTGAATACGTATTTTTATACCGTTTTCTGGTATGAATCAAAAGAAGCTATTCAGATTCATATGACTCTATCACTCTGCACAAAAGACCAGATTTGAGCTTGGCATCGCTTCCTCTTTTCGTTACTCAACCTAATCCGTTATTTTTATGCAGCAATACTTACCGTCAGGTGTAGTGGAGGGTGTAACAGTAGACGTGGTTGTTGACTCCGTTGATGTTGTAGGAGTAGAAGTCGGGGTACTTGTAGATTCTGTGGAAGTAGTGGTTGGCAATGATGGCACCACCGTTTTCTGATCTAAATCGAGAAAATGCAGTCAGAATGATCTGCCTCTATAAGTCACTCTGCGCGAAAGACCAGGTCTGAGTCTTGAGGTATTGAATACGTAATTTGTACCGTTTTCTGGTATGGATCAAAAGAAGCTATTCAGATTCATCTGACTCTATTACTCTGCACAAAAGACCAGATTTGGGCCTTGCATCGCTTCCTCTTTTCATTACTGAACCTAATCCGTTATTTTTATGCAGCAATACTTACCGTCAGGTATAGTGGAGGGTGTAACAGTAGACGTGGCTGTTGACTCCGTTGATATTGTGGGAGTAGAAGTCGAGGTACTTGCGGATTCTGTGGAAGTAGTGGTTGGCAATGATGGCACCACCGTTTTCTGATCTAAATCGAGAAAATGCAGTCAGAATGATCTGCCTCTATAAGTCACTCTGCGCGAAAGACCAGGTCTGAGTCTTGAGGTATTGAATACGTAATTTGTACCGTTTTCTGGTTTGGATCAAAAGAAGCTATTCAGATTCATCTGACTCTATTACTCTGCACAAAAGACCAGATTTGGGCCTTGCATCGCTTCCTCTTTTCATTACTGAACCTAATCCGTTATTTTTATGCAGCAATACTTACCGTCAGGTATAGTGGAGGGTGTAACAGTAGACGTGGCTGTTGACTCCGTTGATGTTGTGGGAGTAGAAGTCGAGGTACTTGTGGATTCTGTGGAAGTAGTGGTGGTTGGCAATGATGGCACCACCGTTTTCTGATCTAAATCGAGAAAATTCAGTCAGAATGATCTGCCTCTATAAGTCACTCTGCGCGAAAGACCAGGTCTGAGTCTTGAGGTATTGAATACGTAATTTGTACCGTTTTCTGGTATGGATCAAAAGAAGCTATTCAGATTCATATGACTCTATCAATCTGCACAAAAGACCAGATTTGAGCTTTGTATCGCTTCCTTTTTTCGTTACTGAACCTAATCCGTTATTTTTATGCAGCAATACTTACCGTCAGGTGTAGTGGAGGGTGTAACAGTAGACGTGGCTGTTGACTCCGTTGAGGTCGTGGGAGTAGAAGTCGAGGTACTTGTGGATTCTGTGGAAGTAGTGGTTGGCAATGATGGCACCACCGTTTTCTGATCTGAATCAGAGAATTTATTCAGAATGATCTGCTTCTGTAATTCACTTTGCGCGAAAGACCAGGTCTGAGTCTTGCTTCGTTCTCTCTACTAACTGTTGAGGTATTAAATATGTATTTTTATACCGTTTTCTGCTTTGAATCAAAAGAAGCTATTCAGATTCATCTGACTCTATTACTCTGCACAAAAGACCAGATTTGGGCCTTGCATCGCTTCCTCTTTTCATTACTCAACCTAATCCGTTATTTTTATGCAGCAATACTTACCGTCAGGTATAGTGGAGGGTGTAACAATAGACGTGGCTGTTGACTCCGTTGATGTTGTGGGAGTAGAAGTCGGGGTACTTGTAGATTCTGTGGAAGTAGTGGTTGGCAATGATGGCACCACCGTTTTCTGATCTAAATCGAGAAAATTCAGTCAGAATGATCTGCCTCTATAAGTCACTCTGCGCGAAAGACCAGGTCTGAGTCTTGCTTTGTTCTCTCTACTAACTGCTGAGGTATTGAATACGTATTTTTATACCGTTTTCTGGTATGAATCAAAAGAAGCTATTCAGATTCATATGACTCTATCACTCTGCACAAAAGACCAGATTTGAGCTTGGCATCGCTTCCTCTTTTCGTTACTCAACCTAATCCGTTATTTTTATGCAGCAATACTTACCGTCAGGTGTAGTGGAGGGTGTAACAGTAGACGTGGCTGTTGACTCCGTTGAGGTCGTGGGAGTAGAAGTCGAGGTACTTGTGGATTCTGTGGAAGTAGTGGTTGGCAATGATGGCACCACCGTTTTCTGATCTGAATCGAGAGAATTTATTCAGAATGATCTGCTTCTGTAATTCACTTTGCGCGAAAGACCAGGTCTGAGTCTTGCTTCGTTCTCTCTACTAACTGTTGAGGTATTAAATATGTATTTTTATACCGTTTTCTGCTTTGAATCAAAAGAAGCTATTCAGATTCATCTGACTCTATTACTCTGCACAAAAGACCAGATTTGGGCCTTGCATCGCTTCCTCTTTTCATTACTCAACCTAATCCGTTATTTTTATGCAGCAATACTTACCGTCAGGTGTAGTGGAGGGTGTAACAGTAGACGTGGTTGTTGACTCCGTTGATGTTGTGGGAGTAGAAGTCGGGGTACTTGTAGATTCTGTGGAAGTAGTGGTTGGCAATGATGGCACCACCGTTTTCTGATCTAAATCGAGAAAATGCAGTCAGAATGATCTGCCTCTATAAGTCACTCTGCGCGAAAGACCAGGTCTGAGTCTTGAGATATTGAATACGTAATTTGTACCGTTTTCTGGTATGAATCAAAAGAAGCTATCCAGATTCATCTGACTCTATCACTCTGCACAAAAGACCAGATTTGAGCTTTGCATCGCTTCCTCTTTTCATTACTCAACCTAATCCGTTATTTTTATCCAGCAATACTTACCCTCAGGTGTAGTGGAGGGTGTAACAGTAGATGTCGTGGTTGTTGGCTCCGTTGAAGCTGTGGCAGTAGAAGGCGAATTGGCTGTGGATTCTGTCGAAGGAGTGGTCGGCAAAGATGGCACCACTGTTTTCTGCTCTGAAGCAATAGAAAACAAAAATACATGAGTAAATTTACATGAATGTGATCCTATAAGTTAATTTACACAAGGGTCAGGTCGGCATCTTGCTTGTTTTCCCCTTTCGATACTGGAATGCCCGCAGCAAAACTTACCGTCAGGTGTAGTGGAGTGCATGAGAGTAGAAGTTGTGATTATTGTTTCCATTGAAATCGTAGGAGTAGTGGCTGAGATGATTGTAGAATTAATTAAAGTAGTGAGTGGCAAAGATGCTAAATTGATTTTACCTTCACGGTCCTCCGGATTGCATGCTTGCTGGCACTCCTTTTCAGTTCTGTAACAGCCGCCATAGAGGAACAGCTCACATGTTTGCGTTGCGGAATGGTATCCATAACTAGAATAAGCTTTGCTTTGGTGACGTTGTAATGGAAATACAATTGAAGACAAGACAAGGCAAACGTGAGTAAATTTCGGGATATGCGCGGTAGCTACACTGTGAGAAGGGCGAACACATCATGATATACCAAGGGGCTTATGCCATTTCCACTAAGGGCCGCATGCGCGTCCCCACCGCGAGAGTTTTCCTGATTTCTGAGCATTTCTGCTGCTATATTCTTTGTAATTTCAAAAAGGTGAATTTATTTTAACTAAAAAAATACTTCAAAATTTGAATTATTTGTATCTTAGGCCCGTATGCATGTACGTCTCCGCTAGCTCAGATAATCGCCGGGGGCGGGCGATCCGCAAACTCGCGCTTTTCTATCGTATATTCTGCCAGCGGGCATCAATACAGTATTTTCTGCAAGCGCTCGGCAGAAAATTTCTTTTAGCGAGCGCTGGCTAAACTTTCAGCAAGCGCTAGGACTCTTTTTAAGCAGTTTTGGGCATACGCCGAGTAATGATGAAACTCTATGTGGCAGACGTCTTATCGATGGTTTAATTACTCAAGTTTGAGGTACCTTCTTTCAGCGGAAGGTACCTACGGGCTGTGCGGTCCTTCACAAAGGACCGTGCGGCCCTCAATATTTTTGCATATTCTCGCGGAAAGTCCGCGAGAATGCGGCCACTGCGCCGCAACTAATCTGTAAGAAAAGCCACGATACTTCTCCGAGCATTCCTCTAAAAATTGGCCCACATTCTTTCAAATTTCTGCAAGCGGACCGCATGAAATCAGCGAACTATCTTTCATTTGCCCGCTTGCTCAAAATTCGCATAGCCGCCTGCCCCCGGCGATTATCTGAGAGGGAGGTTAGGGGATCTGAGAGGGGATGTGCCATATCTCGCTACTCTACGTATCTTTCTTTTTCTTTTTCTATCTATCAAGTTTTTCATACCCTTATACCTGCGCATAATGAATGGTTGCTTTCATACAAGATTGGTTTTTTGCCATTTTATGCGATCTTCAGGGGATCCCCAGGAGATCACCTCCCCCTTTTCAGAGTGATTTATATTCCTGAGAAGTCAATGGAAAAGGTAAAAATACAGAGAATATACTATGGCACTGCTAAGCCTATTTTCGATTAAAGAAGTGGAATCTGAAGATTGTGAATTTTCGGTGATCCCTGACTCGCGAGCTAGGAATTACCGAAAATTTCGAAATCCTGAGATTTCACTTATTTCTACTTATCATCTTTAGCAGCGTCGTAGTATTTCATTGAGTTTTCAGGGAGATAAATGGCATTTAAATTGAGAGGTGATCCTCTGGGGGATCACACAAAATAGTGAAAATCTAATCAATTACGACCGGGTGCACAAATTTTGCGGCACCCAAAAGTGGTCGTGAGCAGCACTTCCTTCATTCGGACACGTCGTATCCTCGGTTTCTTTACATTAAGACATAATTCGGTGGTTTACTATGGGCCCTGGATTCCTTGCCGTCTATCCATGTGAGTGTTTCTATTGCCTTTCATTATAAACATAGTGAACATAAGCGAGAAATTATACGAGCTCTATTTTCTAGCTTTTTGTATGGTCACTTTGTAACTCATGGGGGCAAATGTTTTCTTCAAAGCCATTCTCTTCCTCAAGAGTCAATGAAAACATTCTAAAGTTGTTGATAATCTAACCTAATATGGCCAATCCAAACGAGCGGCATACTATTCGATGCAGCATAGAACGCTGATTTCAAATCTGTCTTCCATATCTGCAGAACGCCTTTGTAGGCAAAGTTATGAGCAGCTTTACTGCGGAAAATTTGTGCACAAAATTTGCCAAATTACCCACATTATTGCCCTTTTAGCTCACCTCTAGGTACGGGCCATATGAAGTAACCTACAAGGGAAGCTATAGTTGGCTGCACGGAATCGCCCGGAATGAGCACCCTCGCGCGTTTCTCTTGCGGGCTAACATTGGTATTGGCGCGCATGAGTCATCATCGCCCGTACTCGGCAGCCGCGCTGCAGGCGCGCTCGCGTGCGTTCAGCCTACAGCAACCCAGACAATTTCGTGCAGGCGACTTCACCTAACTTAGCTCGGCCTTTTGGCAAAGGACATATTTTGAATCAGCTTCAATCGCTGGTTCCGAATATACCATTCCTAGCTGCCGCTCATCAGTTGGAGACGAGTTATGGGCTTTTTCCTGCGCAAAGTTGGCATACTCATCAACTCCCGGCATCACGCCATCACCATCTAAGTGCTAATGCACTTGCGTTAAACCCAGTGACAAAAGATTGGATTTGTATGACTTCAACATCTCAGCACCTTTTTCTCGCAGATTTCTATCTACAGGCAGTCTTCCCATGTTCAGTAATATGCCTATTTTGCGCAAGAAAAAGATCACAACTCGCTTTGGAATGGTGAGCGGCAGCTACCAATAGCATATATGGAATCAGCGTTTAAAGCTGATTTATAGTACATATGCTCCTTGCCAATATGCCGAGCTAATAGGTAGCTTGCCTTATTAGTTGCATGCCTTGGTTCAGCACTGAGCCGACAATGGCTTTGTACAACCAAGTCCTTTCACACGCACGATTTCTTAGCAAAATAATGGCTTTCAACAACTTATAACTTCATTCACAAAAGTGTTTTGCAGTTAAGGAAGACAGATTTAATCAGCATTTTATGCTGCACCTAATGATATGCAGCTTGCTTGTTTTGGCCACTTCGATTTTTGACCATTTCGTTGTAAGCATGTTTCTGACAAGAACCAGTGATATATATATATATAAGTGATGAAAATTTCGGTGGACAACGACTCGAAAGGGGATTCATTAAAAATCACAGCATTTCAATGACTCATTTGTTCTTATCAGAAGCAGGATTACAAGGGAATGGTCAAAAGTCAAAGTGGCCGTCCCAAGCAAGCTGCATGCCATTTGATGCAGCATAAAACGCTGACTTCAAATCCGTCTTCCGTATCTGCTGAACGCCTTTGTAGGCAAAGTTATGAGCAGCTTTGTTGCGAAGTAATTGTACATAAAAAGTGCGGAATTGAGCTTACCATTCCAGCCTACCACTAGGTATTGGCCACACGAAGTAACCTAGCTGCATGTTTTGGTCCAGCGTTAAGTCGACCATGGCTCTGTGCGGCCAATTTTGCACCTTGCACGCACAATTTCTTAGCGAAATAAAAACCTTTGATGATTAACTTATAACTTCGTTCACAAAATGTTCAGCAGACAAGAAAAACAGATTCAAAGTCAGCATTTTATGCTACTTTTAGAGGCAGCGTCCAGGCAGAATCTCGACTTCTATTTTTTTGCCTTATCCAGGCCTTTTCATGGCGCTGATTTCAAGTATGGCACTCAAAATGCGTGAATTTCTCAAAACACCCCATTTTTGAGACAATTTTGTAAAAACCGTGGACGAGTGTTCCTAATGCTATTTTTGTCGAAAGCAAGCATTAACAGGTAAACACTACGTGTTCAATTGTGTTTGCCACGTAAAAACACTTAAAGGCAGCGTCCCACCAGATTGGGTGCTTGGGCCTGGTATTAATGTAATAGTGGACCCCCTAACTAAGCGACGACAGAAGTTTGCAGCGCGAATGGGGGTTTACGAAGTCTACAAATCCCCCCCCCCCCCCCCATGTGGCCCGAATCTTACGGTAGACCCGAACGCCGCCCACAAATCAATTTCGAACTGCAAGGCCAGAACACGTATAGCGCACACAATCATGAGAGCAAAGTCCTACAACGACTCTGCGCTTCTACTCTGCATGCATCTCGTACTCGCCTGAGCCTACCGTGAGATTCGGTTTACTTGAGGGGCGATTTGTAAACTTAGTTAAACCCCCTTTTGCGCTGCAAATTTCTGTCGTCGCTTAGTTAGGGGGTCTACTATAACACACTAATACCAGAGGCGGGTACCCCCAGTCTGGCGGGATGCTGCCTTCAAGGGCTGAGGATAGTTCGCTCAAGGAGGCGGGAGTTCGAGGGAAATGGGCGTGGTCCCCGAGGCTCAGCGTTTTCTGCGCCGTTTTTCTCCTTTTACAGGTGGTATTTGAAAGTCGGAATTGCGCGATAGTTCTAGGCTGTGGCCCTAGTACTTGATCATGACAATATCCGAAAATGTATAAATCTGCCTAGACCCTGCTTTTGAAGATGCAGCTTGTTTGAATTGGACACTAATTCTCTCCCTTGTTAGCACTGTTAAGCTAGATAATCAGCAACTTTGTAAGATTCCCATTAGTTCGCAGGAAGAAAGATGACTTTGAAAGACCGTAGGCCGCAGAGGATCTTAGGGGATCATACAAAAAGCTGGACTATGCGGATTGTACAGTCTTTCGCTTCTGTCCAGTATGTTTATAGCAAACGGTAGTAGAACACTTACAGATGGATAGAAATCGGGAAATTCGTATGTTCAGAGCTTCAGGATATGTGATTTTTTTTTCTTTTGATCTGCGTTCGCTTCCCTAGCGGGGATGTTGGTGCATGCGGCTCTGAAAGGCTTATCAATCGAATAAATTGCCACTTTTCTTGCATTTTCACCCCATAAGCTGAGAAAGGGTAAGCGATTTCTAACAGGTTGTTCACTAGTCTTTTCCAAAGATTTTTGCGAGTATCTTATAAAGCGGCTAACACATTCCGTGCATGAGTTTAATGGAAACTTACTGGAGGAAATTCGTTGCACAAGGTCCATCTGATGCGAGTTCATAACACACTTTTACCATTTCACCTGAATTGACCATGTGTGCTATGCAGTTGGATAGCCGTAGCGTCAGCCGTGCACAGCGATTGCTGTGGTACAGCTTGATACAAAAGCAATGATAGTATGGAAAAGATACACAGATAAGGCAAACTTATTATCGCTTTGAGAGCATACTAGTGTATCAAGGTGGTGGCAGTGGCATGTACATTCTCCAGTAAAATAACGAAACAAACATCAAAGCTCAAACGCCTCAATTTGTACCAAACTTCCAGTATGTTCGTATATCAGGAGATTTATTCGATAGTTTCAGACAACTATCGCTTATTATGCAAAGTTTGAGTTCTGACAAATGAGATTGCGAATGTAGTATAATTTCTTCAATTCCCTGCTCTACATTTGATGCATAGGTTGTCCGGAGAATAATGTCACATCACATGCTACTGCTACTGCTACAGCTCTACGCAAGTTTTCCACGTGAAATTAAAACCAAAATTCAAGAATTTTCACATGGTTTGGGAACCGAACTTTAGATTTAATTTTCTACAAATCCATTCACCCACGCATATACGCTCACAGTAGACATTTGGAAGTACAGTAATTGATTTTTTTTCCTAGCCAGATCAGGAGGATAAACAAAAGCGCCAAAAGTACGAAAACCTCGCGTTCTGGAAAATCTATTGAAATCCTAAGATTACCCTGGCCATGGCATAACAAATTTCGTTTACTCGACTTCTAACCATGGAGCAGGCGAGTGTGCTCAAAGTTGTCTGATAAAAAGTACATGTGCAAGTAAGCTGGAATTCCGTAAGATTTTTTAAGACGAAAATACAATTTTTTTCATTTTTTTAGCATGATTTTTTTAAATCTTGCTTTAGAATTCGCGCAAATCAAAATTGGCGCGAATGTTTACACTCTATAAAGTTTGTTACTCCATCTACTGACTTGATTCAATTTTACCCGTGTTTACCGTCCCGCGATTTTACATGATAGCAGAAAATTCGACATTATTATATTTTTCAAACACCGAACGCCTTCGTAAGCTTCTTGCGGATTGAAGCTCATTAATGTTGCATGTCTACCAAAATGTTTTTAGAAATATTGTTATCACTGATGAAGCTGATTGAGTTTGAGTCTCGCTTTAGATGTGCGAAGGCTTTTGCCATGCTGCCACGGGACTGCGTTTCTAGCACCTACTTTCTAACTTCTGGAGAAGCTACCAGTTAGTCAGTTTCCAGATATAGACTGAAAACTGCTTCCGCAACCGATTTTTCTTCAGCTATAGCATTGCCTTTCTAAGAATCGTAAGGGCAGAAGTTTGAAATGAACTGTAACAATCCGTGGCGCAGGCCATGCATCATGCATTTCTTGTAGAACATAGCGAAGATTTTGTTATGCTTACCTGTTGTGGTTCCCGCTAGTGATGTTGTTGGAGTCACTGATGGTCTCACCTCCATTGATGGTGTGGTTGCGTCTGATGTGCGACACAATCGTCCCTTCACTCCTGACACACAATCCTCTGTTGTCTCGCCTAAAATATAAAACAACAACTGCATTTTGTGACAATCCTGAGCGAGTGCTTCAGTGCTGTCCTTGTCGAAAGCGCGCATTAACCTATTGACAGTATGTGTTCAATTTGTTGCCATGCGAATACTCTCAAGGGTTAAGAAGAAATTTTTCAAAGATGTTGGTTTGAGAATTAATTGGGCGGAGATTTGCTACTAGCCTGCCCGGATGTTGCCTTTGAGTCTCAAAAACAACGCATCTTCGTAGTGCAACGTATGGGATCCCCCTATCCACATCTGCACCATTGCTGTTAGCTCACTTCATATCAACAAAATGGCTATGCAGCAACGATCGAAATGAGCAAATAATTCACTCGGTTTTCTCTCATTTGAACTTGCATAATCGTAAGCAAGAAGAAAGTAAATTTTTTCTGAAGTTCACATAAGCTAGATTATTATTGCATTCCAGCATCAGAAGCAAAGAAGACAAAAATGAAAACCGCAACTTAGGTGACTGTCAGTACTAACTCAGATGATAAATCGGGGGAGACAGAGGACGTTTTACATGATGTTATGACCAGGAAAAGATGAAGAGAAGTTTACGTTCACGGAGAAGCAAGGTTGAAAAACAAACGTTTTACCGTTGTGAATGGGGAAGCGAATTACGCCTCCAAGTGAAGATCTTTATTGGATTTCTGCGTAGTGACTATGACAGTGAATTCGGAGAGCTGGAGAAATTGGGAGACAACTGCCAGTACTCTCTATTAACTTCGATCAAGTGATAGCGATCGTGGTGCGCAAATTCGATTTACTTACTTAGATACTTAGATGGCCCGGCTTCACGTGACGTGCGGGCCCCAGCTCAGAAGTTTCCATTTTTCCCTGTCCCTCGCTTCTGACATCCACGATCTTCTTGGCTGACGTCGGTGGCTGCGTCCACGAGTTCCAGGTGCAAAAATCGTATCCAGCTGATTTCTCAGCTGGTCCATCCGTTCCACGAACACGTCTGCCCATCTCGTTGGAGGTCTTCCTCGGGGACGTTTGGCTTCACGAGGAATCCACTCCGATGTTCTTAGTGTCCATCTGTCGTCTGTTCTTCTCATTATGTGACCGGCCCATCGGTGTTTGGCTTTCGCGACGTATTCCGCTGGGTCACGAAGACGGGACATTCTTCTCATATCCGTGCTGCGAAGTCCGACTAGATGTTGCTTGCGTCGGGTCATCTTCAGAAGACTGCGCTCGAGCGCTCTGTGTGTGGTCCGTAGAGCTTTCGACGTGGCTACAGTGTCGGCCCAAGTCTCAGCTGCGTAACAGAGCGCCGGGAGAACGGTTGAGTCGAACAGGTGGGCACGAAGCTCCGGGTCCGTCAGTTGGTCGGTGGCTTCCTTCAGGGGCCCGAAGGCGGCCCAGGCTGCTCTTCTTCTCCTGTTGAGTTCTTCCCTCAAGTCGTTCTCCATGTTCATCGAACGTCCGAGGTACACGTAGGAAGACGTCTCCATAATCGGGGTGCCTTCCAATTCCATTTCTGCATCTTCGCAAAGGGCGTTCTTCATGAACTGAGTCTTCTTCCGATTTATTCGCAGTCCGATCTTCTTCCCTACTTCGTTTAGTTCCTTCAGCATCGTCTCTGCTTCGGTGATACTGCTCGAGAAGAGAACGATGTCGTCCGCAAAACGAAGGTTGGACAGGAATCTCCCATCAACTCGTATGCCTCTCTCGTCCCAGTCCAGTGACTTCATCACCCACTGCAAGGCCGCGGTGAACAGCTTCGGCGAGATTGTGTCGCCTTGTCGGACCCCCTTCCCGATTGGTATGGTCAGGGGGCGATGGAATAGCTGCATCGTCGTTGTACAGTCCTTGTAGCAGTCGGCTAACGTCCTCACGTAAGCTGGGTCCACTCCTTGATCGACTAGCGCAGACAGGATGGCGTTGGTTTCGACGCTGTCGAAGGCTTTCTCGTAGTCGACAAAGGTTAGGACGAGAGGCAGTCGGTACTCCCGGCAGACTTCTATGACCCTCGAAACGGTCTGGATGTGGTCCATGCAGCTGAATCCTTTGCGAAATCCAGCTTGTTCTTGGGGTTGGGCTTCATCCAGTGTCCTTGATATGCGAGCGAGGATAATCTTCGTGAAAAGCTTGTACAGCACACTCAGCAAGCATATTGGACGATAGTTCCGAAGATCCTCCCGTTCACCCTTCTTGAAGAGAAGGACGGTTCTTGACGTTCTCCACTGGTCGGGAATCTTCTCCTTCTGAAGGTAAGATGTCAAATGCGACGCTAGAATCTCGTGTAGACGGTGTCCTCCGGCTCGCAGAAGTTCGACGGAAAGATGATCTGGTCCTGGAGCCGTGGACGTCTTCATGGTCTGTATCGCGATACGCACTTCAGCAGGTAGAATTCGTGGTGGTACTTCTCCAGTGGGAACAACGGGCATCTGCACGGGTGTTGATGAGCGGAAGAGGTTGGTGTAGAAGTTCTTCGCGATAGATTCCATCTTGTATCGGGAAGAAGTCGGAGTCCCGTCTTCGTTCAGTAGTGCAGCCAGCGGTACGTGATATTCGCAGAGGTCCCTTCGGCACTTCTTGAGACTTCGTCTTCTTTCTGCTGCTTCCAGTATCTTGGCTTGCCTGTACTTCCTGAGATCCTCCTGCAAAGCTGTTCTGCAACTGGTGTTGGCAATCAGTCGCTCAAGATGAGTTGCATTCGGATCCTGCCTCAATGATCTTCTTCTTTCGAGCAATTCCTTGGTGGTCTTCGAGATGCGGTCCAAGTTCTTCTCAGAAGTCACTGAGGCGCATTCTCCGCAGGCTCGCAATCCTTTCAGAAGCCGGTCGTAGTCGTACGTTGGGTCCTCCTCGATGGGCCAGTCACAACTTGATATGAGCTCTTCCAGCCTGTTACCGTCATAGACGGCTTCCTTCCTTCTCGCGGCACTATGACAGACTTTCTTTTCCAGCCTTCGGCTGAGTCGTATCTTCGCTCGAAGGAGGCGGTGATCGGAGCCACTACAGAAGGATGGAACTACAGAGACATCGAGTAAGCTCCACCTTCGGTTGGTGAGAATGTGGTCGATCTCCGCGTGGGTCGTTCCGTTGGGCGATTCCCATGTCCACCGGCGATGTTCCTTCTTCATAAAGATGGAATTTCCATGGAAAAGTCGTGCGGCGGAGAGAAGCCCAACAAGACGGTTGCCGTTTTCGTTCCGGAGCCCATATCCAAACTTCCCGATCCTATATTCCCTTTCCAGTGGCATCCCGATTTTCGCGTTGAAGTCGCCCACAACAAACTTGTAAAAGGACTTCTCGTTGCGGACGACCTCCTCCACATCTTCGTGGAAAGCATCTAGTTCTGATTCGTCAGCTGCTGATGTTGGAGAATAGCAGCTGATGATGCTGATGGTCTTCTGATGTGGAGGTCGTAGTCGTAGGATGCCTAGTCGAGGTGATAGGATCTCGTGCGAATCGACAAGATGGACGATAGATGGGTGGACGACAAAGCCGACGCCTCCCACATTTCGTGATGGAACCTTTTCACCACGAATGATGAGAGTCCCATCACTCATCTGTCGCACGTCCTTCTTCCTGGACTTCGTTTCCTGCAGAGCAATGATGTGGTAGTTGATGTGCTCTGCAGCGTCGAGAAGAGCGTGGAGGTCGGCGTTTGTGGAGACTGTCCTGGCGTTGTAAGTGCAGAGCATGAGGCAGTCTCCATGGCGTGTCGTCCGGGCAGACGTGTCGTTTTTGTCCAATCCGAAAGGCGCCCTGAGTACCCTGACATCGTTCTTGCTACCACCCGGCGCCGTAGGCGGGATCCGATGTACAGGGTTTTTTCTAAATCTTCTTGCTGTCTGAGTAATAAAATTTGTTCCCCTACAAGAGGTGGCTTACTAGGCCTACTCTTGATTTCCACGGGGTGATCGCTGACCCCGGGCTTGGAGCGGGGAGGGACCGCCTAGCGACCAGAAGAAGCCAGACGGCGGAGAATCTGGCGCGGCCAGTTCTTAGCTAGGCATCCGGCCGAAACCGGAAACGTCGAACTCCTTCACAGCTTGGGAGGCCCTACCAGAGTATACACTCGGCTGTGCATCGCAGTTCGACACCCAGTGTCACCCCCACGCCACGATGAGGCGACCGACCATTGTGGGGGTTCGATTCGATTTAACATGCGTTATAAATCTGGCTAGCAGATCAAAATAAAGCCATATGCAGTTACGTCCCTGCTGGGGAGGGAAGGGGATTTGAGGAGGGACGCGCCGTATTTTACTACTCTACGAAACTGTATCCCTCTTTTTCTATTCATGTTATGAAGGTCTCACCTTGATATTTGATTCCATAGTTTCGTGTGTTCTCTCTGAGATTTTTAGCTAATCCTTACCCCCCCCCCTCCACTCTGTTTTTAAAACCGTCTAACTTTCAGGAACTTGATAGAAACTCAAAGTTGTTCTGAGGAATGACACTGTTAGGAATGTTTTTGATAGGACGAATGAATGTGCAGTTTGTGAGCTTTTCGATGACTCTCTCAGCTCGCGAACAATGCTTATCGGAGGTTTTATTACTTTTAGAGTTCATTAATTTCTACTAGAACTATGTTTAGCAGTGCCATAGTATGTGTTCCATACAATTACAGCATCCCATCGAATTTAAAAATATAAGTGACTTTGAAAATGAGGGGTATTCCCATGGGGATCCCCGAGATCAAACAAAACGATGAAATTTTAAACTTGTGTGATAAAGTCCTATCATACATTATGTATGAGTGTAGGGTATGAGAACCTTTATAGCATATGTAGACAAAGAAGAATAAAGATTTCCAAAGAGCAAATTAAGACGCCTCCATTATCAAATCCCCTCCCTTCTCCAAAGGGAACGTACGTGCATACGGGTTTAAGGGCCGCATGCACTAACCTCCCCGCTGGGGAGGGGATTGCAGCTCAAAAGAAAGCTTCATATTTTGAAGCTCCAGATATCTGGATTTCACGCTGTCTACCTCTCCACGAGTATTCCTACTGCTCTTCACAATGAACACATTGAACAGGAGCGAGAAGCTGCACTAGCCGCATTTTCCAGCTTTTGTATGATCCCTAATGTTCCCCGCCGCTTTTCTCTAAAGTCATTTTTCTTTCTTTGAAGTTGACGAAAATCTTCCAAAGTTGTACTGATTATCTAACACAACAGTGCTGAGCATATTACTGATGAAAATGAGTTTTTGAAAATTCGTATTTTTCGGTGAACTCCAATTTTCGACTTATGGTTCATCGCAAATTTCATGACTCCGGTACATCACTTGTTCTTATCAGCAACATGCTAAGCAGTGTTGGATTAGATATTATGCACAACTTTGAAAGCTTTTTGTTAACTCTAGAGAAAGAAAAATGACTTCAAAGAAAAGCGCCGGGGATCATCAGGGATCATACAAAAGCTGGAAAATGCGGCTTGTGCAGCTTCTCGCTCCTGTTCAATGTGTTCATAGTGAAGGGTAGTAAGAATACCTATGGATGGGTATACAACGTGAAATCCAGATATTGAGAGCTTCAAAATATGAAGCTTTCTTTTGAGCTGCGATCCCCTCCCCACGGGGATGTTAGTGCATGCGGCCCTAAGAAGTAAATTTCTTACGATGGAGATCTTTTCGCTAGGGGGAGACTTCAACCAGTGGCCGACGCTCCCTTCAAAATTTGTCGCGAATTTCAAAGTAGCCTATATGAGGTGTAAAACAAGTGACTCTCGTAAATGATTGTTTTGAAATGTTTTGAGAATCTAAATTACTATTGTAAAAGGATTATGCGGGCGGCGTAATTTTGATCGATTTCCATGCATAAGTCAGCGATCCTGAGTAATAATGGAATATGCGATTGTTATACACAGAGAAAGGTCTTGGAAAATATGAGAAATTTCTGATATATGACTTTGGAAAATAAAGAGTTTAGCGTTCGAAACAAAGGACTAGTAAGGTCAACAATGGTATAACCCAGACACAATTTATGAGCAATGAGGTATTAGAGCTGATTTAGGGTGATGTACTTGGAAGAAAGCTGAGTTCAAAAAAAATGGAAGAGAGAGACTTAAAGTGATTTTCTTTGAAAACTCGAAACAGTGAGAAGTATATAACCGCTATCCAGAACAACCGAATGTATTGAGAATTGCTGAGCCAGTGAAAAGAGAAGTGCTAGATCAGAAACGTAAGTACTGCGCTGAGAAGGAGGGAGATTGAACTTGAGAAACTTGGTACCCCAAAGACCTCTCAGAACCTCTCATAAAGCAAAACACAGGTTAAGAAAACTGGGGCCGGAAGCTCAGTTGGAAGAAAATTTTGGGTGATTAGGCTAATAAAGCAAAAAAGACATTCAAGAGCATTCTGCGAGAGACTCCGTTCTGATACTCATTTGGCATGTATCTAATAATAGTAAAAAGTGTCGATAAGAAAATTCGAATTCGTAAACGAGTTTTGAACCGCAAGCTATTGAAGAATTTGCTAAATTCATGTGCTTGATTCGCAACAAATATTAGCGCAACTACGCTTTTAGGCATATGTAGTAATTGTACTGAAGCATAAACGAAGATCGTTGCTCAAAGCTGCTCAAAGTTGCTCAGACCTTTCTGATTTCGAAATTTTTCGCAGACGTAAGTTCTTCACCTATATTTGGTTTTCGTACTATAACATACCTTTGCTGACAGTTGTTGTAGGACTGATTTCTACCGTTGTTGCTGTTGGTTCCTTCTCTATGGCGGTCGTAATAGTTGTTGAATATAGAGGCACTGTCACTTCATCTAAAAGTAAAAGACAATCTGGATAAAAAACCTTACACAATCATCCATCTGTAAGCTCAATATTATATCCTTTGCCTGCAATCTATTTGTTCTTAATCTTCTTGTAAGCAATCTGGTCATGCTAATATAACTGGAAACATAATCCAACAGAAATCGCGCAGTTGTAAGACACTTCGGCTTTCAAAATTTGCTTAATACTTTCCTCTATGAACTTAAATGCTAAGAACGATATTAGATGACGCACCTTGCTTGTCTGGTGTCATAGTCGTTGTAGACTCATTATGTTTGAAGCATATTGATTGACATTCTGCATCAGTTAGGAAATTATTTTCATTTGCTAGGCAGCCACCATACAGAAATGGCCTGCAGTCTCCTATCTCATAGTCATAGGCGTACCTAGATATATACTTGCACAATGAAAAAAATATTGCAAGTCCTGTGGTTCACACAAGTATCAGTATGCCAGCCTATCAAAGCACAAATCTTACCTCCAAAGCCTTGCTGTGCATGGTCCTTTTTTGATATTTTGTAGGCATTCTCTTCGACATATTTCACGAGCATATACTAAAGTTTATCGTTCTCACTTCAGTTGCAGTGTTGAAGTCTGCTTGAAGACTATCGTACCTGATGTAATCCAGACGAGCAATAACGCTCGAAACTTCATTGGTTACTATTGCCAAGTGAGTCCAAACAATTGATGGATGTGCCTAAAGATTTTAAGATGCTTGCCTGAGATTTTGGTATCCCATTATGAGAGGCTCATCAAAATCAGCAATATGAAAGCAAAAACACTTTTTTGATGATTTAAAGGCACCGTCCACCCAAAATCTCGAATTTAATGTTTTAATCGCCTTCAGGCCTTCTGAAAGCCCTGATTCCGACTGGTTCTGATGCATTTATTATTCTAGTCTTCTCGTCATAAAAAATTTTGTATCTGGTTTTTGATACTGATTTCAAAAAACTTGTGTGCTAGAACTAAAGTGCTCAAGAATGATAGAGGCATGGTCAAGTATTTGATCGTTTCCTTGCTGTAATTGGAAACTAAGGACTATATTTCGGTTGTAAAGCTTTCTGATTTGCTGCTGTGCTGTGCTCAAAGAGTACATCGCGAAGTATTTTAAAGATTAGAATTCAGATCGCAAATGTCAAAGATAACAAATTTAGCAAATTTAGTTTGACTTTTGAAGCACTGGATTAGTTAGGAGCTTTATGTAAACTAAAATTTTTTCTTTGTCTTTGTTTCTGGTAATGTATTGAATGCAAAAAGATTTGCTCTTGATTGGACTGAGATGCCGTAACAAAGTGTGAAACAACTTCCTTTTTCTAAGAAGCAGACGTTTGAGCGGTTTCATAGTTTTTTTTCCAAATAAAAAAGAAGTTGAAAGCTTCCATCAACATCCATATAAACTCTTGAATCTATATAGCTGTGACACACTTTCTCAAAAGTGTTGTGTTCAGCAAATTTTATAGCATGTACTTCGATATAAAAGCTCATTTCAGAATAAATGACGAGATAAGCGAAATGTGTAGTCGCGAAAAGAGCACCCTTATCTCATTCTTCCTATGCAGCTTCCTAAAATTTACATGTGGCCATATCTGGCAATCAGCACCTATGGGAATACGATGCATTTTAAACTCCGAAGTGCTGTGATCGAAAAAACCGATGCTCAGCGAATTTCTCTTAGTCAGAAATCTGTAATTGAAGTAGGAAAAGCCAGGTGCAGCCCTTGCTAAGCATCTGAGTGATTGGCTTGAATTGAAAATTGTTGGTCCAACAGTATGTAGTATATAGATTAGCGAATTTTGCAAAGGCCATGGGCCTTAAGAGTTTGATAAATGTCTTCCTGAGAGTCCTTTGGTTAAAAAAAAACAAGACGCTAGGAACATGTTAGACGACTGAAAGCGTCCTTAGTGAAAGCAAACAGTTTTCTTTGGATTAAGCTGGGAGAAAAGGCTTCGGTTACACTTATGAGGCAAACAATTATTGATCATCATTAAGCTTTTATAGGTTACATCTGAATGTCTCGTTTCGCTGTCATGTCAGCAAGTCAATTTCATTGAGCTCTACAATTGAATCATCCTTTGTTCATTTAGTGGGCCATTTCCATAATTCCAATCCCAAACGCAAATGAGAACTTTGGATAATTGCACAATGCTGAGATGAGGTAGAATTGATTTCAAAGTACAACAATTTGTTTACGTAGTGCAAGTTTGCAAAAGGGCACCGATTTTGAACCCTTTCATTTTCCAGCCACTACTTCCGTTCCATGCTATTTTCAGAAGCGGAGATTAATTTGAACAACCACCCTTTGAAACCTTTTTATCGTACTTTTTTTATGAAGCTGAAAAAAATGTTTTTTTTCACTTATTGCTAACATGAGTTGATAGTTTTTCCATAAACATTCATGTGCGACACTGTACCTTCCACGTACTGGTACAGGCTGTGGCTGATGGTTTTTTCCCTATTTAAGTGACGAACAATATGAAGTGCTTGCACATTGAACTATGATAATAGGTTGTTTCGAAAGTATCTTCGCACTTTCTAATGAAGCGCCATGTCCGTCGCAATAAGATTGCAATTCGGTCGCATTACTGATTCACCTAAGCTTTCTACTTTTCAAATATTTCCCATTCCCACAGAAGTGCTGGAGTTTGTAGATGGATTTGCCGAGGCGCTTGCAACCATTTTCATAGATTCTTGCCACCATCTTTCAGCAAGAATTTAATAGAGCGCAGATGAACAAACCCAACAGAAGTATATGTTGTATTCGAACTTTCAAATTAAACGTCCTTGACTCTTACAATTTTTTGAAAACTTATTCTTTTTGCAACAAGTTAGCTTATGATTGCACTTGACACCTCAAAAGCTGCATTTCTTGAAGCGAGCAAAGCTTGACGATACGCATAGTCTGATCCTATAGTAATAATATCTGATCTTATAATAATTTATTTTTTAGCCATAGGTGATAAATTCTTGTGCGGTTCATAAAGTTTGGCACAGCTCATTCATGCTTGAGTGACTGCAGTGACCAACATTCAACATGGTTCTGAAAATAAAAACTACACAGGCTATAGTGATAGTTTTGGGTTAGATCCCCGTGGACAACAATTTTTGCGGGGAGAAGAATGTTATTCATAAGTATGAAAAGTGTTTGCGACTGGGAAAATTAATTTTCTTTCACAGATTCTCCTGCGAACAAAACCATTTTAGCGCCCTCCAGAACAATGCCAAAAACGTCAATGTCACACAAAATCATAAGGCAAGTCACAGTTTACGATATAAGACCAGATTTTGCACGAATGTAGCACAGCATCTCCGAAGTACAGATGAATTATGTGGGCCCGTGGAAAACACTACAAAAAAGGTTCAAAAATTTGATGGTTACCGTTGGCAAAGATATTCGCTTTTGTCGAGTATGTGAAACATCTGGGATGCTTCAGAAGCTGGATCAATCAATCGGCACTGTCAACATCTTTACCATACATACATGCCTATAGTGGCAGTTGGGCTTCCAAACGGTTTTTCTCAATTTTAGTCATACTTGAAGCCAGCTGGTTTGATCCCGGTCTGCGAACATTTCTTGCAGGGAGGGGGAGGGGGAGGCATTTGCTAAGCCTAAGTAAAAAAGCAACTAGGTCGTAATCTTTCAAAGTGCCGCAATGAAGCGAGTCTTTACAATTACTAGTGTTTTACAGGAAATGTCGTTCACTCGCTTCCATTTCACATATTAGTACACAGCATTCTATGAATTTACTGTTAAGAACATGTATAGGCTGTTGCATGACGAAGGCGCAACATCTTTGCGCGCGAACGCGGCTTTATCAGCCGCAGAGCCCAGGAGGCGCAGGATTTACAACTGTGGGGATACGCGCGCGCCGCGTTCGCGCCTGCTCAACTAATACTGCTATTGCGCCTTCGTCATGCAGTAGCCTTTATTTATTATAACATTTGCCATTCGATTTCCTATTGAGATTACGGTTTATTAGCCAAACTACTCCTTCTAAGACTCTCCCCCCGTTGCGACAATCGCATCACACGCTTGACCCTTGTCCAAACTACTACTGCTACCTATTTCTTCTTCTACAAAATTTGAAAGAAAGTGGTCAAGATAACAAAGTTGCGGATCTTCAGAAATAAACGACGATTTTGAAGGAACCTATCAAGACGCGGTGATTCTAATCCGGATATGTCCAAACTCCATGTGATAACTCGGCGATGCACAAAAAGCTAGTATGTGCTTCGGTGAGTTTATTATTACAACTTAGTATCATTTTCGAGTTTGGTAAGGGAAAACATACAACCAACATAATCTTCGAAGCGGTATATGCACTTATTTTAGAAATTTACAGCTACAGTAAGCATTCCTTCCCATTCTAGCAGAGTAGGCGATAATCGAGTGTTACCGGTGTTCAAAAGGTCATTTTCTTTTTTGCGTTAGTCTGGTCGCTGCTTCAGCACTATACCGAAAGGTTAGATATAGGGCATGCAAAGTTCATGTGAGCTTAACGATCCGCAATTCTTTTCTTAATCGGGTCATTTGAAACAGGAGGGTCTTTTGTTCGCACACAGTCCTTGGAAATTAATTTAATAGTGGATAGGCCGCTCAAATTTGAGTTCTTCATTGGACCGGATTGGTGATGGGCATACCTAGCAGAACCGCTCAGCACAAAATCGTGCTTCTTACAATCACGGATACGACCAGCATGGATGCGCTACTTAGCATGATGAGTAATAACTGCATTGTGTACACTCTGCTTCGTCCGACGGGCTTGCCCTTTGCACTTGTCCGCGCTTGCTAAAAAGCTGTCAAACACACATTGTGCACTTCAGTCCAAGCCGTAAAAGGGTAAGAATGACAAACAGTAAACCCGTGAATCTTAGTGGACTCTCTCTTTATGACGTTCACCATAAAACATAGGAAACGACTTTGAAGATAGGTTGGTATGAAACACAACATCGAGGCCGGCGCAGATTTGAATTTTATTTGCTCGGCATCTATAGTCGCCACAATATAGCTAGTGCAACCTTTCATTCCCTTCTTCATTTCCAGTAAAAACAAGGATGAAATTATTCACATTCAATTGTTAAAAAGGGGCTCTTTAGGATTTACAACCTCAGTGCGCCTTCTCCTTAAAAGTCTAATGTTGGAATTTTTCAAAAGTGGGTTTCTTACTCTTTAGCACTTACGGATTTATGTGACGTTAACGCGTTAACTATTTCGACTTCCCAAAGCGACAATTTTGAATTGTTTTCAAGTTTTATTCTTTTACTGAGCTTTTTAGCCAACCATTGGCAACACTTTGCCTACAGTTCCGGCTGCTCTGTCAATTCAGTAGTTCAGTGCGACTTTTTTGCTAAAAACCTCAAAGGCAGAGTCCATTAGATTCTCGACTTCATTATTTTTATGTTATCCAGGCCTTTTCATGGCGTTGATTCCAAATATGGCACCAAAAAGCGTAATATCTCGTAAAACCAACTTTTGGGGCTATTTTTGGGAAAACCCGGACGTGTGCTTCTGAGACCATCCTTGTCGAAAGCAAGCATCAACGGGTAAACGCTG